TCTCTCAATATCGTGACAGATATTGCTTTGATTCTCTTCCCAATACCCATGCTTTGGAGAATGAGTAGCCTCAACTTTCAGACGTATGTCGAAGCTGTCTCTTCTTTTTACGTTAAAACTGAACTCTTCGTTCAGAAAGCTCCAATTAACTTTACTCTTCCTCGTCGGGGCCATCGTGGTTGCAATTACCATTACCCGTTTACCGCTCATACTTCTCAATTCTAGCTCGTAGACCTCTCGCACCATGGTACGTCACGCATGCATACACCGCCTCGGGGCTCAGGGCTCAGGGCTCAGACAAAGCCACCCAGTTAAACCAAAAGCGAAGCTAACCCTGCCACATTGAAAAACAGTGGGCATCGATAGAAATCGTCTGCGCGTCTATTGTCGCGAATGCTGCGTTTTACTACGCGCTGTGGAAAGAAATCCCCCGTTGGCGTGGTCAACAGGCGCACTCCACACCCCTTATCCCATACTTTCTTCCCCTGGAGCAGACTGGATCTGAAAGTCGAGGGATACCGATTAGTCCGAGTCGACAGTCGGATCCAGAAAGCAGCTCGGAGGTGATTGACTCGAAGCGTATCGAGAAGCGCGGGAACATGCAGCCAACTTTGGTTGACCCGGGCTTCCACTGCGACCTGCGTAACTAGACCCAGCATATAACCTCGTTTTCCCTCGTTTCATCGATGGAGACTTGTAACGATACATATTTATTACATTTGCGCATATAGTGTGTTAGATACCCGGTCTCATGAACCACCGGGCCAGATGTAAGAGCAAAACATTGCTTGTGGCGTGGGCCCTTTAGTCCGGACTACTCCCTCAGTGTATATTCGGTTAAAAAGAAATTCGCTGGATTTCGAGTTTAGATGCATGTAATCAATCATTAAATCACTATTTCGAAACAGGTCGTTGGTGTACCCAGCCATTCCCCAAGGGCTTTGTTCGTGATATTATATTTCAAACGTCATCTCTTTAGAGCGGCGAATCTCTTTGCCAACTCATCCACTTCAGGGATGCCACCGCCAACAGTACTCTCATGGGGTTCTGACGTCCGTGATTCTAGTGGAAGAATATCAGCTGCCGTGCTACTCGGCGTTTCGACTCCTTTCACATCACCAGGCGGGCTTCTTTTTCCGCGGTCGTCGGCAGCTTGCGCATCTGCTCGTGAAGCCGGGTCTTTCCCAGCGATCTCTGGCAACTGGTTGTTTTCGACAGCCTGGCCTTGGTCGTCGTCATCACCATCGTCTTCATCTTCATCCTGGTGCCATCGTATCCCATGACTCCTTGCAATCTCCTTCAGATACTTCTCCACCAAAACCGGCGACGCTCTCTGCACCCGTAGCCGCTCCACTAGTTCTTCGGGTAGCTCAACAGGCGGCTCATCATCATCCTGCACTCTACTCGCAAAATCATTACCCCATCTCTGTATTAACTTAACACGGAGCTCCGGTAGACCAGCGATATCTCGAGGTAAGCGCGGGTAGGAGTAGAATATCACAGCGGCGGCACGATCGAGCTCGGGCTCGATGAAAACCTCCGGCTCTGGCTCCGGCTCTGGCTCCAGCTCTAGCTCTTTGTGGGTTTGGTCACCGCCCTTCACTACTCCATCCCCAACATTGTGTTTTGCCAGGCCCGGATCTTCCGTTGGTTGACGTCCAGCATCATCCGGAGCCTGACCCTGCGAGCCTGCACCAAGCCCCAAAAACTTCCAAAGCCCCCATCCTCCATTGCCACTCTTACCTTCTCCAGCCGCAGGCCCAGGCGCAACCCTACCGCTTCCGGGGTGATTACCCCTCCGTCTCACCGCCGGTGCCTTGCCTTTCCGGTTCTGTCCAAACGCGATATGGTCCAGTATATTCACGCGGACATGTAACTGCTCGCAGTGCAGCTCAATAATCTCGAGCGCCGCAATCAAATTATCATTGGCGATCACTTCTTCCGTCTTGATGCGGGCAAAGTCCTCGCGCCCGTCCTTGAGGAGTTTGGCGAGTTCGCGCGCTTTGGCCTTGGAGTAGCCGCGACGTTCTCTGATGAGCTGGCGGATACGGTAGATTAGGGCTTGGAGGGCGAGAGTTAGGTCTGTCTATGAAGATATCAGGTTAGTTTGGTGGAGAGTGAGCAGGTAGCTAAACGATGGATGGAGGGGGTAGAGATGGCGCTCATTTGCGGTGCATATGATCAGACAGACTCACTGTTTGCTTTGGTAATGGCATTGCGACTATACCGCACCCATGTTAATCATGAAACCAGCATCAGGTTTGGTGGTTAGAGTATCTGCTGGTATCTGCTTGGTTGCTGCTTTGAGGGCGGGGAGAGTGATCAAGAGATGTTTGACAATGACGATGGACGGTGCTTGACTCCGCATCTCAGAATGCAACTTTGCTTGTCATCATGAGAGCTCGACCAATTCCAGAAGATTTTGTTTCAAAATATGATTAGTTACCATGTCTGCTGGGAATAACAATCAGAAAGTAACTATCTTTTCCTATTTCCTGTCTCTATGTCCTATTTTAATTCCGCAGTTCGACCCGGCTTCACTGCCTAGGGCGTTGGTTTGCATTGCAGGTTGCTGCCCTTCGTCTTCATTCTTCACCCTACTTTGTGAGCTGTATCAAGTCAAAATTAGAAAGTGATTTCCAGCTGTACAACGACATACTCTGAACATGGGGACTATCTTTCATTAATGCGCGGAACAACCGTAGGGGCCATGTAGGATGAATTTCACGGGCAAAGCAACGCGGATCCCCTATTATTCTGGATATGTGGCAATTACGGTACGACTGCTGCATTCAGCGTACTACGCGCCAAAATTTCCACTCGAAGGGAGGAGATGGGTTTGCCGGTGGAACTCGTTATTTTTTCAGGGCCGTGGCCGTTTCTCCCCCTGCCACACCTACCAAATTCCCATACTTCAACGTGTTCATGGTAGCTGCGAATTGCTCCGAAGACGGAGAAACTGTGAGTATCATTGCGGACTGGCTGTTCGTGGAGGCTGAGAAGTGCTCACGCAACACCATAGTCAATGGAGAGGATCGAAACGGGATACGAGTGTGATTCAGGGCGCGGGCGCGGATGACTTCTTTCAGCGCAAGTAGATCGGTATTGATCTGTCGGCCTTCCTGGCGCTCCTGAGGCGTCATTTTGGCCGCAAATGAGGAAGAAGTAGCCTTTCCATGATAATATTCAGAGCCAGCTAAATCCACAAACACGAGCTTTCCACCAAGGCATTTCTGGCTGTGAGACTCGAATATCTCGCGCGCGTGAGCCTCGGCTTGTTTCACGTACGACTCGAACTTCTCCTTTTCTTTCTCTGCGGCGTCAATGCGCTCCTGATCCGGCGGGCAATCAGGGTTGACGACGTATTTGCCTTCTGGGGTTTTGATGTAGGCGTTGGCAGACTCCTCGAGGTAAACGTCCGTGGCACGCTTCGCAACCGGCACGAATTCTGATTCTCGTTCAATGACGGCATCTCGCGCGTCAAGTAGCGATTTGGTCACAATCTCAAGCTCCAACACCGCATGTGTACGGGAGCTTTGGTCGTGGACTGTGGATGACCCCGTGGCCCTGAGCTGAAGGCCCACCTGCAGCTCACGGCGCAAGTCGTCGAAATTCCAACATGCCCGAGTGACGACCGGACGCACTCTGACTTTTCCGCCTTCCAGCATCTCCGTTTCGCCGCGGATATGGACTCGTCCATCCGGGCCCTCTCGAACGTAGCACTCCCGGCGTTCATTCAAAAGGTCAAAAGCGGTATTCTTTCGCATTTCATACATACGAATGCCAATGCCCAACATGTTGCCTTCTTTCTTGATTTCACCGTTGGGTTTTTGCGCTGCATTTAGGTCTTCAAGCGTCCCATAGAGGCTATACGCCGCAGCCAAGCAAAGACCAAACTGATCGGGATTTTCATAGTCGTAACCTATAATAGTATGTGTCTTCCCGCTCCCGGAATGACCATAGGCAAAGAAATTGCAAGTCCCTCCGCTCAGAACTTGGGGGAGTGTAGGTTCAACGACAGTTTCAAAAACCTTCCTGTTGCCGTCGCTGGCCTCGAAAATCCGTGAAAAGCAATTCGAGCTATTCCATGAGCGATCTCGACTTGGAGATGACTGACAGACTATCGAGGTTGAAAACCGGGAGTTGTCCTGTAGAGTGGATGAGCGTTCAATTTCTGTGTTGGGCGACTCGCTGGAGCTGAGGGGCCGCCATCTCACGAACGCCTGCATTTTGTAGGTAGTGGAAGGATAGTTCAAAGGGCTTCAATTAACTGCGTCCTTTGTGGGTTTCCAAGGGGTTTTGGCCGTACAGCGTCTCGCCGTCCCCATCGCAAGTTCGGCAATAATTTCTCTTCCCTCACAAGGCCTGACACCAGCAGCCTCCAATGCAAGCCATTCTTGGGTGGGGAACCCGGGTATTTGCACAGTTGGCGCAACAGAGTGGAGTGAAGTAGATTCATCAACTATCCTCGACTTTCGAACTGAACAGAATGCAACATTCGAAATACCCCATGGCTAGTTAACTCTGGAACCACTCATCATCTAACAACTCCTGGGCCGTGGGTCGATCCCTTGGATCCAGCTTCATGATTTTGCACAAAAAGGTCCGGTCCTCCACTGTCAGCTCTTTATCAACTGCCTGAGCAAATGGTTTCCGAACTTCATTCCTATCGATATATTCGTTGATGCTGCCTACCATCTCCAGCCTTTCATCATCCGGTAGAAATAGTTCTCGGAATTTATCTGAAAGCGGCCCGAAGAAATTAACCTGCTTCATCAGCACAAGGATTGGATACAAGTCATCGTCAGGATCGATTTTTTTTATCAGGTCGAAATATATGCCAATTTCCGCCCCAGATGAGGCTGATTAACTGTAAAGCAGCAGGTCAGATCAAACTCCTATAATAGCAACCAAAGAGGCCATTCTGTTCAAGAGGTAGAAATCTCACCGTTGCCCCAAATGACCAAATATCAGTGGGTGGTCCCCAGCGCAGGTTGAACATAGCTTCGGGGTTGCGAAAGATTGCGGCGCCAATTATATGTCCAACGCCCCTGGGATCGGTATCCGGGTCTAGGTGCCATGTATCACCAAAGTCATCCAGCTCTACCTCACTAAAGCGAGATCCGGAGGATTCACCTGCGTAGTTGACGAGAATATTATCAGGCTTCACATCTATGGATAATGCATATTAGCCCACAAACATTAGACCGGATTGTTACATGATATGGAT